AGACAAACGGGTAAGTTGATGGATATCCTCGAAATTGTAGCAGTGTCATTTTAATCTCAACAATTAAAATTTTAGAATTAGTTTTAGGAATTGTAATTTGTCAAATGAAATTAGTCCTGCCCTTGTCTCATCTCTGAATAATTAATGGCGTTAAAGGCCCTGGGGTCATATCATACATTAAATGTCATGATGATTTCTATGTAATGGGATGATATGATAGTTGAACAAACATATAAGAGTTGAAATACATTTACCATGTGAACTAACTTATCAAATCTTGCTTAAATACAAATATGAGTCATTGGCGTTATACATCTACCTACTAAACAACTAGTTCATATCTGCTAGCAGATTAGCTAATTCTAATTCTTGTAGTTAACTCTGATTGTATGTAGTACTGTAGTTATTCAGGGTTCTAAAGGAAAAACTTATTTATTTTATTACAAAGACGTGCACGGACTTCTGATGAAGATTGTATGCTGTCATAATAGGATAAGTTTGAATATTGGTATTGAAGTCTTTGAAAGATGTTTCCTTCCTCCCTCTGGCCGATTTAATTTAATTTGAAAGGGAGCAAAATTTATTTGAAGTATCATTGTCTTTTAATGTGACAGAAAGTAACACTATGTGAAGATAGCAACTAGGTAGGTCAAGACTATCACTTAGACACAAAGCAGCAGAACCCCACGTGAAATCTAATTTTTTCCTTTTTTAATATAATTTTTAAAATTTCCCACTCCATTCATATGTTAGTAGACCGTGTAGCAATACTCTGAAAGTTAGACAACTAGTTGGATTTTAGGTTGTTATAGAAACTAGATCAGAATAAAATTGGTGTTATTGCAGAAGTAGAACTACTAATTTCGTTAATCTTAACCAGTGTGGTTGAAGAGAGATCAGTTTCTCCAATCACTTCATGAAATGTGTTACCTTTCCACTTTCCTCTTCCTGTATTTACATTTCAAGTACTTTCACCCCTTAACTGCATACAAATCTCTCTGATTTCAATATTCAATTAACCAATCATTCTTAGTTTTCTTAAAAAGTCGTGATTCCCTACAGCAACTCTAGAAACCAGTCTTGCTGCTATTTTCTTTACTATTAATACTATTACTTTATTAATATTTTGTAATTACCAAGGTTTCTTTCTAGCCTTCAAAGTTCCTAAGAAACCAGTTACATATATATGTGATTTGTTTATTTATAGGTCATTTGATGTTGAGATTATAACCTAATATTATAGAAGCTTTTCACCAGGTCTTTGGGAACTATGAGTGGCTATAATCAATTTGAAGGATGAACTGCTGGACTTGTCTACTTTAATTTTCGAAGGAAGAAAGTGTTCAAATCACGTTGGATTTTTGTTCCATCATCATTGTATCTGACTTGTGGAAAATGGCTGCGAAAGATGATAAAAATCTTATTGAAATCTTGGAAAACCTGAATCCAGTAGATGTTGCTAAATACATGAATTTTGTTAGTGCTCCACAAGCTGGTGCTATAGCAACATTTGCTGGCACAACTCGTGACACCTTTGAAGGGAAAACAGTCTTGGAGTTGAGATATGAAGCTTATGTTCCAATGGCAATACGTTGTATCAACATGATCTGTTCATCTGCCAGAGCATCCTGGAACCTACATTCCATCGCTGTTGCTCATCGTATAGGCACGGTGCCTGTGGGTGAAACAAGTGTCTTCATTGCAGTCTCATCTGTCCACAGGGCAGATGCACTGGAGGCATGTAGATTTTTGATAGATGAGATAAAAGCCAAAGTTCCTATTTGGAAAAAGGAGGTCTATTCAAATGGGGAGGTTTGGAAGGAGAACAGTGAGTTCCTAGAGAGGAGGTCCGAACTTGGTAACAAGGATGCAGGATGCTGTGGTAGAAAGGTAGTAATTAAAGAGCAGACCAAAAAGGCTTGTTGTGGGACTAAGGTTCTGGTTGATGATCAAGGTAGCCAAGAATAATGTCAATTAAATATATTTAATCAATTAAGTAATTAGATTTTATAGAATTTTTAATTTATATAATATGATTAGTGATTTATTTAATTTTTTGAAATACTTTTATACTTATAACAATATATTTAATAATGATGTTAATGTTCCTTATAATATGATAATGTTCTTTATAATTTTGGTAAAAAACGTTCTTCAATGATGAGTCCATCGTATCCACATTCATATAGGTTGATCCTTCATCTTAAAATATTGAATGCCATTTTAAAGGGAAATACTTTTTTTTTTTTTCACTATTAGTGATGCCTGATATTGGCATGTCAACTCCTTTCATAACATTTCAAAGTTTATTGATAATTAAGGGCTTTTGGCTTATGATAGCAAGATTTTTCTTGGATTGGTACCATGCATGGGCCGCTTCTTCATGCACCTCTATATATTTTTCCCTGCACTCCATATTAAAAAATTCTCAGTTTGTCGTTCCGAGTCTAGGAACTGGAAGTGACTTCCAGATTGTACAGTTTGAAAGCCAAAAATGACTTTTGGATTGTGATAAGCCAAATGACTTCCGGATTGTACAATTTGAAAGTTGTTTTTTTCTTGACCATTTTTCGGATAACTCTCTTGACTCGAAGTGCAACATTCCATTCTTAATAAATCAACTTTAGGCCACTTCTGAGCCTATAGTGTATTTGCGGCTTGTAGCTTCATCACCTTTTCTTGCTAAATTGATGTATTTGCAATAATTTTTTTCGTGTTTATTTTTCTTTTCATTCACATATGTATTGGCTGGAAGGGATAAATGTCAAACATTCGAAGGAAACTGTTTCTTCTCTGGCCCTTTTCCTCTCTTTGACTTAAGATATTCCTAACAAAAGTTAGTGGATTTGTTCCTAGCTGTACTCTCCCTATCTCTCTCGCCCCTTTATCTGTGAAGGTCCTCAAGCTTGTTGTAGTGACTAATTAGTAAGAACTTTTTTCTATACTCTGTCTTGTTACTTAACTATATGTCATGTGTGTTGCAGCTAATGAGGCGTCACATGAAAAAAATAGAGGAGGAGATGGAAGATAAGGTAATACAGTTATATATGTTCCAGTCTGTTTCTTTTTCCTTTCTAGTTAGTTTTAACTATTGGAATAGTGGACATATGCTGTGCAATTCGTAATAGTGGCACAATCAGGCTATACCAGATGTTGTTGATCTGTTTACAAGCATATAAATTACAACCATATATTTTCACAGAATTGGGTTTCAAATGGAATTTTGTTAGTTGGGACTAAAAGCCAAATTGACTATTTTTTCAGGGTCAGAAAATATGATTAAGCCTAAAATCTTGCCTACATAGGGTGGATCCATGGTCTGTAGTCCCTCAGTAGCATATTCCTGAAAAATATTGCATAATTGTGGTTTCATCAAGAAGATTATAACATGACCTGTACTACACGAACTAATGCATAACTTAACAAACAATTTAGTTTCTAGTGTGTAAGGTTTAGATTTGGTGATATTGTCTTCTGTTCTGCATAAATATATAGGTGACCTTGATTATACAATACCTGTATTTGTACAAAACAATTACTTTGGTTGCTGGATGTGTTTTCCTTGTGTCTGATGAGATTCTTGGTATTTTCCCAGCTTATTGAAATTTGAAGTTTTGAATGTTCTTGTATGTATGTATGTTATAGATTGTTGTGCCAGCAACCACATTTTTTGTAATCACAACATGAATTTCATTTGTCAGGCTATAGATTCCATTGCTGNATCTGTGAAGGTCCTCAAGCTTGTTGTAGTGACTAATTAGTAAGAACTTTTTTCTATACTCTGTCTTGTTACTTAACTATATGTCATGTGTGTTGCAGCTAATGAGGCGTCACATGAAAAAAATAGAGGAGGAGATGGAAGATAAGGTAATACAGTTATATATGTTCCAGTCTGTTTCTTTTTCCTTTCTAGTTAGTTTTAACTATTGGAATAGTGGACATATGCTGTGCAATTCGTAATAGTGGCACAATCAGGCTATACCAGATGTTGTTGATCTGTTTACAAGCATATAAATTACAACCATATATTTTCACAGAATTGGGTTTCAAATGGAATTTTGTTAGTTGGGACTAAAAGCCAAATTGACTATTTTTTCAGGGTCAGAAAATATGATTAAGCCTAAAATCTTGCCTACATAGGGTGGATCCATGGTCTGTAGTCCCTCAGTAGCATATTCCTGAAAAATATTGCATAATTGTGGTTTCATCAAGAAGATTATAACATGACCTGTACTACACGAACTAATGCATAACTTAACAAACAATTTAGTTTCTAGTGTGTAAGGTTTAGATTTGGTGATATTGTCTTCTGTTCTGCATAAATATATAGGTGACCTTGATTATACAATACCTGTATTTGTACAAAACAATTACTTTGGTTGCTGGATGTGTTTTCCTTGTGTCTGATGAGATTCTTGGTATTTTCCCAGCTTATTGAAATTTGAAGTTTTGAATGTTCTTGTATGTATGTATGTTATAGATTGTTGTGCCAGCAACCACATTTTTTGTAATCACAACATGAATTTCATTTGTCAGGCTATAGATTCCATTGCTGTTCCTGAAGGTCAGAGAAAAAGTGAAGATGCTATTCAAGGAGTAAGTGTTTTTCAATTTGCTTGTAAAGGATATATTCTCCAATTGATGTAATTACTTTGTTTGGTGATATAATGTATTAGTGGAGCAATCTTTGAAGTTTGAGTTGACTTGTGATAGACTTAACTGAAATCAGTAAACATTCATTTCCCTATGGTAACATGGCTATTTTCTTTATTAGGTGAGTGGTTGGAAAGCAGTTAGACGGTTAATAATCAACTAATATTTTGTAATTAGGTGTCTTTTATTTTGAAATCAAATTCACTTCATATTTGGTTTTACTATATTTAGTTTATAAAAGAATGCTCTATAACGTTGACAAATGTTTTCTGACATTGGCTTTATTATGTCTAAATATAATAATTTTTTTTATATTTTCAATTCATAGCATAATATTGTATTACGTAATTTTAATAATTAGGGTGATCATAACTAAGTAATTTCATTGTAACGAATTTTGATTTGATATAATATGTGATTTATTTAATTTTTTTAAATACTTTTATAGTTATAATGATATATTTGAAAATAATGCTAATGTTCCTTTTAGATATTATAATATTTTATAATTTGGTAAATTTATATGAAATGTTTTTTATAACTTTGGTAAAATTATATGAAATGGTTTTTTATTATTTTGGTTGAGTTATACTAAAATTGTTTTTATAACTTTGGTAAAATTATATGAAATGTTTTATTATTATGTTGGTAGAGTTATACTAAATGGTTTTTTATTTCATAATTTTAAATCATTATAAATATATTTGGGTGAATGCATTAAGTGATTGTATTACAATAACTATTTATTTTTGGTGATATTCATAATTAATTAAATAGTTCAATTTGTGTGAATGTTTATTTTATTTTGTATGGTATGAGAAGTGATTTATTTATTTATTGTGATTTTGTATAATTATAATATATATTTGGTAATGATTATGATAATATTACGGATGCCCGGGCGTTGGGACAAATACAACTAATAGTAGTACTTATCCTTAGTTGTAGTAGGAAAAATTGTTGGGTGAATTGAAAAGAAAATAAATTTTAGGGAAAGAAATTGAAAATTTTGTGATAGATAAAATAAACTTAAGTTGTATATTAATATATTTTTGATAATATTTAATGAAATAAATTTTTAAAAATAATTTAATGTATTTTGAATTAGTTATTATGTTATAATAAAAGTTAAATATTTTATTAATTAATCAATTGAGTTCCTGATTATTTTTATTTGGATTAAATAAGTTTTTAGTCTTTGAATTTTGACATAAAATTAGAATTTATCTTGTTGGAAACTTTAGTACATTGTTGTTCCCAAACTTTAAAAATAATAATTATAATATTTTTAACTCAATTATGTTAATTTTTTTTTGTGTCAAATGTATTTCCTATATGACATTGAAAAAGGAAAGTGTCAAATAGTATAAGCAAGTGAAATGTTAGCTTGAAACATGTTTAATAAGTAAAACAATTGACATAATTGGGTTAAAAAATTATATCCATTAATTAGAATCAAAATATATCAATAATTTCATCCAATAATCAATTTCAATTTAGAGTAAAAGTTTAAAAACTAAAAATATATTTAACATTTTTTATTTTATATCTTATTTTTGAACTTTTATATGCATTGTTTATTCTCTTTCCATATTTTGTTTTTAGATATTATATTATAAGCATAAAAGACTTTATGGTCTTTTTATACTTTTAATATATTCTAAATTTTTATTAAAATGAGTTAATGTATATTATTTTGTTAGCATTATTTATAATTACTAAAGATAGAAATATGGTGTACATCCATAGCATTTTCAGTTTAGTGGTTGTTATGTGGTCTTAGTAGTTATTTATATAGGATTTGGATAAATAAGATTTTTTTAAGTTGTATATTTGTTTTATCGAAAAGTAAAAATAAATTATTTAAGATATCAAGAATCACAATAAAGTACAAGATTAATAAGGTAAATTACATGCAATTGACTCAAAGACGGATTTTATATTGCTTGATTGATTAAAAGTCAATTTTTATGAAGATGGATAAAAGAAAAGGTGATGGTATAAAAAATCTTCACAGGGATAGTGTTAGCAAAGGATAAAAGCCCCTTCGACAATTATTAAGAATTCGTTTCGTGTCTTCTAAACCTCAATGGTCCTAAACCAAAGAAAATTATACTCTAGAGTTGGAGAGGGTGAAGGACAATTTTACTAAATACTTCTTTAATGTCATGAGAACATGTAACTCTTTAGAAGGGAAACACAATTCGAGAATAATTATTGACTAAATCAAGAAACAATTCGAGAAGAATGAAAAACAACGGTCTTAGAGACATAGTAGATGTTAATTTCTGAGAACACATGGACTTCAAAGAAGTTTTGAAGACATAAAATGAAGTCTTTTTTAGGGCACACCAAATTAGGTTTTCTGATTTAGGTTTAATGACGAAACTCATCTTCTTCATTCCTCTCTTGCGATTCACTCAAATTGTGTTTTCGTTCTTAGGATTCATCTTCGTTCTTGCGCTCTCACTTGTGGTTTCTTGCATCATCGCTCGCATCGTGGTTCTCGCCTCCAATCTCGTCTTTATCCTCGCCTCTTTGTTCCTCCTTCTCACGCTTTCATTCTATCGCCTTCATTCTCGTGTCGTCTTTGTCGCTCACGTATCGTCGATCTCGGCTTCGATCTCAGCTTGTGTAAGTTCTTGTGCCTATACCATTAAAATTGTGTTCCTATGCATTATGTTTTAGTTGTTGTGCCTCTGCCTCACAAAATGTATTTTATAGTAAGTGTTGCATTGCACTGTTAAAAAAAATGATTTTATTTTTGAAAAAATAAAGTGCTTCACTACATTATTCAAAAATTTGTGCCAAAGCTTTGTTGCAATGTTTTAAGTTCACCTCTACTGCAATGTTTTACGTTCCTAAAATATTATTTTATGTTTGAAGTGAAATTAAGCTAATCCCATTATGTTTGGAAATGCACTAAATTCAAGAGAAATCGGTCTGATATTGGATTGAAACATGGATTTGATATTAATGGTAATGGAAGAAAAGTTAAATTTAAGTGATGAAATAAACATCATCTAATGAAAGTTGTTGAGTATATTGTCCAATGTTTTATTCACCAAAGTTTTTAGTGGTAAGTCATTGAGGGACAAGGGAAACAACTCTTGATGCGATGATAAGTCAGCTCGAACTGCTTGGTTCTGATGAAAAGGAAGTATGGTAGGGTACGAAAGAGAAGACCAATGGTTTGTGGCAATGATGTCTAACCGTGTTTGAGTTATTGGTGTGTAACCTTGTTTGAGTTATCGGTGTGTAACCTTGTTTGATTCCCAATTAGCTCATCCTTGTGTTTGTTTGTTTGTTGTGTGTATGCGATGATCGTATAACTCGTGTCACTATACGAGAGCAGATGATAATGTAGATAATTCGAATGTTGTATAATGTAACAAGTTGATTGAGAGAATTGGAAAATTTTATGGTTTTGTTATGAATAAGCTATTTTCTTTGAGTTTTAGTTGTAAT